TGTTATAAATATTTTAAAATTATTTATATTACACTATATTCCATGATTACAGGGAATTAGTAAGAAAGATATTACTAGTCCTGAAGTACTCTGAAAAATATAGTACAGCTTTTTTATTTTCAGAAATATGATGGGCAGAATTCTAAAATAGTCCTGGTGGTAGGCTAGAAAAATGTCCCGTGAACACGTACAATCTGAATTCCTGAAATCTGTAAACATTATTTTGGAAGAAAAAAACTGTCATTGCCAAGAAGATTTTGAAATGAAGAGATTTTCCGAGATTATCTGGGTAGGCCTTAAATGCCATTACAATGTCCGTAATGAGAGAGAGGAAGACGGAGACCATGAAAAGAGGAGGAGGCAACGTGACTGTGGTGGCAGAGACTGAAGTGATGCATGCATCACGGTCAAGGAATGCCAGCAGCCACCGGAAGCTGGAATGGGCAAGGAACAGATTCCTCCCTTAAAACTCCAGAAGAAGCCTGGCCCCACCAACACTAATTTTTCCCAGAAGAAACTAATTTAAGGTTTCTGGCTCCCAGAACTGTGAAAGGATATGTTTCTGCTAACATAATAAGAATTTTGCTACAGCAGCCACAGGAAACTAATATAGATGTGGTTACCTGGAAGTGCAGAGCTGATGTAACAAATATAAACATGGAAGTAACTTTGGGATTTAATAATAGGCAACGGTTGGAAGAGCTTTAAGGCATTTACTTAAAGAAAACACAAAGCCTAGATTGCTTTAAATGAAATGTTGGTAGGAATATGAAGATTAAAGATGCTTTTATTGAAGTCAGAGAAAGAAATGAAGAACATGTTATTGGAAACCAAAGTTGATTCTTCGTTTCAGAACACTTGGGAGACCAAGGTGGGTGGATCTTTAGAAGCCAAGAGTTCAAGACTAGCCTGGTCAACATGGCGAAAAACCATCTCTACTAAAAATGTAAAACTTGGTCAGGTGTGGTGGCGTGCACCTGTAGTTCCCAGGCGGAGTATTGTTTGAACCTGGGAGCAGAGATTGCAGGGAGCTGAGATTGTGCCACTGCTTTCCAGCTTACACAACAGAAAAAGAAAACATAGCTGAATTGTGTCCTATTGTCACGCATTCATCTTTCTACCTAATTATGAAGAATTCATTAAAAGAGGGCTATCAAATAGGAGCAAAAATGAACACTGTATTTGCCACATACCTACTGCCATTCCCTCTCCCCACAACAGTAAATAACTTAAATCAGTGCTTGAGCCAGAGGTTAAATAATGAGTGAGAAATTATATTTGTTTCTATAATTTTAATCTGCCCACTATTTGAAAATGGGGTGCAGCTACTTGATGAGCTGCTTGCTAATTAATTAATCTTTTATTATTCTAGTTGTCTTTAGATACACCTATTTTTAAATATGGAACGCTTCACAAATTTCCGTGGCATCCTTGCACGGGGGCCATGCTAATCTTCTGTGTATTGTTCCAATTTTAGTATATATGCTGCCGAAGTGAGCACGGATATTTTTAATTAAATGAATGGGGGAACTGTTTGGAAAGCATCTTCAATACTGCCTGCATAACTATGCAGCTAGAAGAACAAACTAAACATATAACAAAAGTGAATTTTAGAGTTAAGCATCTATAGTCTTGCTTGTCATCTTATTAAAATTATGACAATGATAAGTTCTATTAATACTGACAGCCCAATTTCCTGAAATAATACAACTTACACACTTAGGTTGGAGTACGGAAGGCCTGTTTTCAGCTGAGAGTAAATATATAAGTTGATATATGTTCTCATTTACAATAGCACTTGGCTTAGAAATTGCCAAGGACTATAAATCCTAGAGTAAATGCAACATGATTTCTTAGTACTTTAATAATCTGAGATCTAAAACAACAAGATGGATTCATTTGCAATAGATTCAGAACTTTAGCTATTAAAGCTAAACCACAAGTAATGGTGGTCTCAATACTTTTTTGTAGCAAGTTTTTCTTGAAGTATTTAATGTATAAAAGGGAGTAAGATTAAAATTCAAATGTGATTTTTTTAAAACAATATCTAACCTTCACATGATAATAATTTCTTTTTTGCTTGAGCTAAGAGACTAGGTAATTATTAATCCATTTGTGATTCTATAGAATTATAAGATTATTCTTTTAAACTTAAAATAGCCAGAGTTGTACAGTTGTCTAAATAATAATATATTGTTAGATAATTATGTATAAATAAAAATAACAAAGTCTTCAAAAGAACAATAGAAAACAGATATTCTGTGACATCAGTTGGAGAAATTAAGTAAAATGGTTTGGGTAAAATATAAACTTTCGGCCCGGCACGGTGGCTCACGCCTGTGATCCCAGCACTTTGGGAGGCCGAGGCGGGTGGATCACGAGGTCAAGAGATCGAGACCATCCTGGTCAACATGTTGAAACCCCATCTCTACTAAAAATACAAAAAATTAGCTGGGTATGGTGGTGTGTGCCTGTAATCCCAGCTACTCAGGAGGCTGAGGCAGGAGAATTGCCTGAACCCAGGAGGCGGAGGTTGCAGTGAGCCCAGATCACGCCATTGCACTCCAGCCTGGGTAACAAGAGCAAAACTCCGTTTAAAAAAAAAAAAAAAAATATATATATATATATATATATATATATATATATGAAAGCATTGAAAGAGGTAGTTCAACGGTAGAATTTTGGAAGTATGATTTTAAAAACAAATTATTTTTGTGCATTTTGAAGTTACTTGCCCCAGTTGAACCATCTTTCTTATATCTCTTTTTATAAATAAAAGACCTATGATTAGATTGTGACATTGAGAATATGATTCACGTCATCCCTTTTGTATCTCAAAAACTTGGCACAGATTCTGGGGAAAGAAGTCTACACTAAATATATACTGCTTATTTAAAAGACCACTATATGAAACTACTGGTTGTATTTCGAAAGTCTCTGGTAATTGAAAAGACTACGATATTGAACAATTATTTTTAAAGGAAGTCATGATTTTCCATCTATTTATCTACCTGTCTACCAATTTACTTATGTTTCCTTACTTTAAGAAGAATCTTGAGACAGATAAATTTTAATAAATACTTTTGAAATTTCATTATGTTTCTCTTGTATGGAATCTGGCTTAGAGCCAATATAGAGTTTTTATCAATAAAATAATCAAAAAAAGGAATCTATCACTAACCATAACAGAAATATTCATAAATGCCTAAAAACACGCCAAACACTGTTCTGAGCAAGCAGAGCTCACAAGGGAAAATGCTCACAGGATCTGCTTCCAGAGAACTTTCAACTTCATGAGCCAAGATTTGACCATGAATTGATTGTTCACATGATAGCCTCAAACATTTGAGGACTGCACCATAAAAGCTAAAATGATCATGATATTATCAACATGTTCTTCTAAATGCACATTCATTGCCCATTTGAAACTTTAAAATGCTTAATCACTTGTTATTACAGTTGCCCTTTGTTTCCTTTCCTTAATGAGAATGACAAGTTTGTGTGGTTTGAAAATTAAAGCTGCTGGCTGGGTGCAGTGGCTCACACCTATAATCCCAGCACTTTGGGAGGCCAAGGAAAGCACATCATGAGGTCAAGAATCCAAGACCAGCCTGACCAACATGGTGAAACCCTGTCTCTAGTAAAAGCACAAAAATGAACCAGCAGTTGTGGCGCGTGCCTGTAATCCCAGCTAATCAGGAGGCTGAGGCAAGAGAATTGCTTGAACCCTGGAGGAGGTGGTTGCAGTGAGCCAAGATGGTGTCACTGCCCTCCAGCCTGGGCAACAAGAGAGAGACTCAGTCTAAAAATACAAATAAATAAATAATTAAAACAAAATGAAAGCTGCCACTATTGTCTAATTACACAAACACAGAGAGTAAATTGCCTTGTTTTATTTTTAGAGTAAGGAAATATGCATCGTCCTTGCTTCATAACTCAGTAATAGGAGCCTATTGAAAGAACAATACTTTTAACTTTAAGGAGGGATGGCATATTCAACCTGTTTCAAAGGAACACTTAGGTAGAAAAATATATATATATAAGGTGATGTTATCTTTGTTAACTAATCTAAAAGGTGATGTTATCTTTGTAACTAATCTTACTCTCTTTATCAAATTATCACCTAAATGGGGATACCATTATGTTTAGAGTATCATTCTGAGTAGACTTAGGTTACAACTTTGATTTCTAGGTCAGTCACTTAACAGATGCCTATCTGATAATTACAAAGGATTGAGTTAACAAGAAATTAGGTGAAATGGTATGAAACAGCCTATTTACCAAGAAAATATCTAAAGTCTTTATGAGCTATTATTATAACCCATTAGTTTTGCTTCTATTTGCAGAAGGACAGTATATCTTTGAATAGTCCCCATAGAAAAGAAAGACATGCTTCTCTTTCAATGAATGTGATTAATAGAATACGGTAATAAAAATATACTTTATCATAGTGAATTAATCATGTCCCTGCTGGATAAAACCCACTAGAATTTTGGTGGAAAAGTAAAATCATTGCTTACCAAAATAGGAAAGCATAAAATGGAGAAGAAAGAAAAGTTAATTTCAAGCTTCAAAGAAGATATTATAGGTAATGGAGGTTAAAATAAAATTGAGATTATAAAAGCAATTAAGAATGTCCCTTTAAGGGGCAATGCATGAGAGATTGTGATAGCCTCAAATTGTTCATATTTGCATAGAAAAGGTCACAAGATATCATTGAATTGTTAACACTGAATAAGAGACTTTCTCAGAAAAGGGGAATCAGATGCATATCCCATTATAGGACATCAAGATCTTCTTAGAATTACAGTGCACGTAATCTCTATTATGATATTATATATTTTTATATCCTTCCTAGGACAAACAGACTTTTGCTTATATTTCAAATATATTTTCTGCCCAGCAAAACCTTGATCAGAATTCTCTAATCCTCAGCATGATCACTCTTGTGTTTATCCTAAATCCCTATGAGTCCTCATATAAACCATGAAACAGTGTGATCAGTTACAATTATGTCGGCTTTTATTGTTTTGCAGCATATTACAAAACGTGAATAGAGAATCAAATAAACAGTAGTGTCTGTCCCTGGGTATTTTTCTCATTACAATTCTTTGTGTAGTGTGGCAGGTTTAAAATACAATGACAAACACAGAAAAGAACATCGTTCTGATAATTTATATTGTTGTGTTTTCATTAATCCTCCAAGAACATTAAAAGAAACAATTACTAATTGAAAAAAAATGACTCTAGATGCCCTGACACATGAAAGAAATCTATGTCATCGTAGGAAGTAAGTGACTCAAAGAGTTTGTCCATTGCGATTCTTATAAAAGTTAATGATGCCTGACCCAGTCTATAGACATTTGTTTGACCAAAGACATAAACAACTGTTAATACCAATTTCTGTATTCAAATAACAATGGCATTCTCCTAGTAAGGGTATATATCATAAGGGTAGACCAAACTGTATGTTGAATATCAAGAAAGAGCATCTGCTTGGAGTACATTAAACAACAACAGATGTTGCTAAATCAAATAACTATCAATCTTAGACTCATAATGTCATTGTTGGGTGTTTACATTCAAAGTATAGCCTCAAATGGACAAGGAACATATATTATGCAGTCTAGAATGCTTGCATTCAGTAAAGCATTAATTAGCTGGAGTCCAACTAACAGTTAATGCCAAAAATGTTTGCTCTACTCTTTATTTAAAGGAAAATGACAAAAGCCAATAAAATAAGCTGATGTATAATATGATTAAGAACATTTTGCTGTTGAGATTGTTATTTCCTTTGTTTTACGTTTTCATTTGTTTGAGTAAAAGCGCCTATACATATATTTATCACTTTCATGCTGTTTCATGGATCATTTACTACAAAGGACCCTGAGACGTGGTATAATGTATAATCATCAAAATAAAAGTAAAGTATGTTTCTAAGTCTGCAGTTTTAATACAACTGTGTCAATACGTTTTTTAAATAACATTGATCAACCAAAGTTTAGAACCAAAAATTTTCTGTTTATGACTTATTAAATAAAAAACGTAAGTGATTCTTTACTTGAATGTCATCTTTTTAAAAAATATGAAATACAAGTTCAAAATATTTAAAGTCATAGAGTAGTTTTTGAATGTTTCTTTCTTTCTTTTTTTTTGAGACAGAGTTTTGCTCCCTTGACAGGCACCAGGCTGGAGTGCAATGACGAGATCTCGGCTCTGCAACCTCTGCCTTCCGGGTTCAAGCAAATCTCCTGCCTCAGCCTCCCGGGTAGCTGGGACTACAGGTGCACACCCCCATGCCCAGCTAATGTGTGTGTGTGTGTGTGTGTGTGTGTGTGTGTGACTACAGGTGCACACCCCCATGCCCAGCTAATTTGTGTATGTGTGTGTGTGTGTGTGTGGGACTACAGGTGCACACCCCCATGCCCAGCTAATGTGTGTGTGTGTGTGTGGGGGGGGAACTACAGGTGCACACCCCCATGCCCAGCTAATGTGTGTGTGTGTGTGTGTGTGTGTGTGTGTGTTTAGTAGAGACGGGGTTTCACCATGTTGGCCAGGGTGGTCTCGATATCTTGACCTCGTGATCCTCCCGCCTAGCCCTCCCAAAGTGCTGGGATTACAGGTGTGAGCCACCGCGCCCAGCGAAATGCTTATTTCTTTAAATGTATCTATATTTATTATAAACAGTGGTCATATTGACAAAAAATATAAACGATTTTTCTTAACAGATGCATTTTAATTTTTTGTTGTTGTTCTGTTTTTTGTTTTTGTTTTTTTCAGTTCAGGACTCACTCTGGACATAGAGTCTTACCCAGGCTAGAATGTGGAGGCAAAAACATAACTCGTTGCAGCCTCGACCTCCCAGGCTCAAGCCATTCTCCTGCCTCAGCCTCTCAAATAGCTGGGCCTATAGGCCTGCACCACCATGCTGGATTAATATTTTGATTTTTTTTTGTAGATACAAGGTCTTGCCATGTTTCTCAGGATGGTCTTGAACTGCTGGCCTCAAGCAGTCCTCCCACCTCAGTCTCCCAAAGTACAGTGATTACAGATTTGAGCCACTGGACCCAGATAACAGATACACTTTGATATGAAGGAATATGATTTTTAGAGTTAAATTCATTCAAATATATTTATAAAACTGACCCATATAGATATTACTAAATCTTTCCAGAGAAACACAAAAGTACAATACATTTAGAATACTTCTACTTACATTGCAGAAATTTATTTATGTTAATAGAAAGTGGCCTCCATTTAATTCATTAATTCATTAAATATTAGTTTCTAGTTAAAACAAGAAGCACTTCCTTTGAGAGCGCCCATGACTTGCATTAAAAGAAAGCTAAGCGTGGTAGAACCATAGCCAAACAAGACTTATCCCTCTTCTCAATCCACTGCTATAAAGGCTTAGCTGTATCATATTCATATTGGTATCATATAGTTTATTTAAAATCAGTATTAAATTATCACATTCAGAAAAATGAATTATATCTTTCAGTACAATTATTAAAAAATAAAAGGACAATTAGCTTCTCTAATTATAAAGATAGGGTTCAAGTGTTGATATGGAGAAAAGGGGACAGCCTTGCTGTATCAATTAGAGCATTATTTACCTTCAAACCATTGTAAATGAATGACGATGGGTCTTGTTTAATTAAACAGTACTTTGTCCTCTTTTGAGATAAATGAGTCTTTGCCTTCTCTTTCCGCACTGCATGGCCCAAGAGTACAAAATTCTAAAGCCACGTAGGTTCCTCGGCTATCAATTTGAGGACGCTGTTCTAAAAGGAGTTTTGGTTTTGCGTCTCTAAAAATGCCTGCCTATACTGCACAGAATATGCTTCTACAAACTTGAATTCTCCTGGCCTCCAACTGAAGCATCACAGAAGCAAGCTAAATTTAAAAGAATTATAAGCAATCTTCTATTTTGGAAGAAGAACAAATATTTCCAAAAATATATTAATTTAAATATTACACATTTCTAGAAAGCATTGGAATGTGTGTTTCCCCATAACTATGATTAAACTTGGCCTCTTCTCTAAGTTCTGTATGCAAAAATAGCATGTTAAAATAGAATTTGATTTAGTATAGAAAAAGCAATACTATAAATTTTACGGACAATCCATATTTTTCCTAGGGAAATGATTAATGCATTTTTCTCAGAGTTTATTCCTCATATGTTTATAACTAATCTTCAGAATGATAAATGATATTTATTAATAGCCCTCAATTTTTTTCTGTTGTATGATCTTTATGAAATATTATTTAAAATCAATATGGATATGATGTATCTTTTTTATTTGAAAATCACTTCTTTCTTATTTTTTTAATGCAAAATATACATTTGCACTTTGCAAACGAAACAGTTTTGCATTTAAAATTTATTCCAATTTGCATTTCTTACTTTAAGAATTAATAAGTCCTCTAATAACATTAGCAGTTAATAAATATTTTTTAAATTCCTTATGATTCAGATTTTTAGTTTATTGACATCATAACAAAACAAACCCAAAAATGAACTTTGGTCATTGCAACATTACTCACAGTAACAAAGATGTGAAATCAACAGTCTGTTGGATAAAGAAAATGTGGTTCACATACACCATGGAATACTGTTTAGCCCTAAAAAACAATGAAATCATGTCCTTTGCAGCAACATGCAGCTGGAGACCATTATCCTAAGCAAAGTAATGCAGGAATAGAAAAGTAATATAGCCCCTTCTCACTTACATGTGGGAGCTTGGAAGCTAAATATTGGGTACAAGTGGACGTAAACATGGGAACAATAGACAGTGGGGTACTACTAGAGTGGTGAGAGAGGAAGGGTGGAAAGGGTTGCAAAACTTCCTATCAATATACCCCAAACTTCAGCATCATGCAATGCATCCATCCAACAAACCTGTACATGTGCCCTGTGAATGTAATGAGAGCTGAAAAATTTTTTTAAAGGAACATTGGTTCTAAACTTTTTTTTCAAAACCACATATATATTTATATATCAAGCATTGCTATAAGATATAACTTCACCACTTTGTCTTGTTTTACCTTGATGCAGTCTGATTATACTGGAGTGATTAATGTGCTTACCTAAAACAGAAAGAAACAAAACATGTCATTAGTGTCAAAGGGATTATTTTGAAGTTTTTTGCAGTGGACAAAATGCGACATGGCGGATAACAGTCACAATTCTCATTCCAACGTCTGTTTTCCTCCACACACCAGAGGTCTTTATGTTGCAACACAATCAAATGGAATGCTGTTTCCGAAAATGAATAGGCAAAAGAACCTTTATAGATGCCTTGGCGACAAAGACATTTTTATTGAGTTGAAGACATCTATACTTGTCAGTTCCTTCCTGCCACCAGAGTACAATGTATCAGATAAAAAATATAAACCAAACGTTTAGTGGAATTGTATTACTTCCCAAAAGAGCTTAGAAATATCCTTATTACAAATGCATTATTCCTGGTGTTACTACAGTATCATTCACACTATCCTCACTTTCTTTCCTAAAAAATTTAGGTAAACAGGTCTGTTTAGAAACAAGTTCCTTAACAATACGGTGAAAATAATACAGTATGGAAAGAATCGCTCTGCGTGTAAATCACAAGCACAAGTATGGGTTCTGTGGTGAGACTGGAAATGCCACATTTTACTCCTTTATTCTAATAAACTAGGAGATTCGCTCTTGTTACCCAGGTTAGAGTGCCATGGTGCGATCTTGGCTCACTGCAACCTCTGCCTCCTGGGCTCAGGCAATTCTCCTGCCTCAGCCTCCTGAGTAGCTGGGATTACAGGCACATGCCACCATGCCCAGCTAATTTTTTGTATTTTTAGTAGAGACGGGGTTTCACCATGTTGACCAGGATGGTCTCGATCTCTTGACCTCGTGATACACCCGCCTCGGCCTCCCAGAGTGCTGGGATTACAGGCTTGAGTCACTGCGCCCGGCCCAGGTGTGTTTTTAAACAGGGGTAGTTTACATCAAGTGAAGTATGAGGGTATGTATTCAGAAGGTCTAATGTGTGATATAGTAGTTGAGTGCCTTACTGGGGTTATAAATGTTTTAAAATTACATTTAAAATTCTAATATAATTAAATCTTTGCACTTATTAGCTGCTTACTCTTGTATAATCCTTGGAAATCTGTGTTTTATATTGGATATTGGAATCTAGAGCTTGTAAGCCCTCATTACATTATTAACTTTTACTGTCTTCAACTTTTTTGTTGTCTTGTGATCAGGAATTATATTTATCATTTTTAATACAATACCTAGCATAGTATTATATTCGTAATAGAAACTCAACTGTTTTTATAAAACAAATAAATAGATGAATGAAAGACTAATTGTACTAATCACATAGGAAAACAAAAAAACTTCAGTAGTTAAGTATCCAGTAAAATCCAGGAGAGCTGAATAATGAATACGCAGGGTACACACTGGTTTATTTGCCTGACTGGCTGTTTAGCTTTAACTTGGTAAAGCTCAAACAAAACAAAATTTTATTAAATTTAGAAAAATTAAAACTGAAGAAAAGCAAAAGTGTTTTGCGGTTCAATAAACTGCAATGCCACATCAATAGGACATTAGAGAGCAATTTAGGCAATTTTCGCAATGTAAAACAAGAATTCTAGGTTGCTGTTTACCAATAAAAATGTAATTCATTTTACGTAATGTCTGTTTTGAGAGGTAGAATTTCTAATTGGAATATGCTGATTTTCCAATTAACATGGTTAAGGCAGATTTGCACGTTTTACGTCAGTTGCAGTTTTCTCGGGTTGTGTTTCTCCTACACATAAAATGGTGGATGTACAGGTAGCTCCCTTTGTTTCTTTTGTATTTATCTCAAAGGGACTTGTGAAGAATTCTAAAGAGGAAAAAAAAAGATTCTTAGATACACGTTGCTCCTTATAGAGGAGATTCATGAGCACCCTATAATTATTTTCTACTACAATTTTGACCAATTACTATTCCATTTTTTCCTCCTTCATGGAGTGAGTTTTGCTTATAAGTATTTATTTTCTTTCTTTGTTCCATTATACGTATTTGAGATAATCTGGGCAGTGAGCCCAGATTGCTTTATTTTTTTGTTTATTACTTGTAGACTGTCCTAGATTCTTGTGAGAGGGCATATTCTAACTTATTACCATGATTATAGGAATATTGGCACTCTGTGAAATTTTAATATAAGAAGATTCTCCCATTATTTCATAATAAGCTAAATACTATATATAGTTTTGGAGTGCTATGTTAAATGGTTAAAGTATTTTAATTTTAATATTGCCTAAATATCTAAACTGTGTTCAGGAAGCAGTGTGGTTTTAACTGTGCCAGACTGTTTCCTAAAACCAGAAACCTGTTTATATAGTGGTTTTAATTCATTTTTGATGTGACTATTTATTATTGTCATACATTTCACAATGCTTTTCTGTAAAATATGATGTTGCTAACAAACCATATCTTTTAATGTCACGCAGGCCATCACTGCCCTTCTGGATGGAGATCATAATTAAATTTATATTTCAGACGTGAGGTATAATATTTAATAAGCTAAAAACGATATGTCCCTTGAATCTCTTAAACATGGCATTTAATTGTATCTATACCTAATTTTCAAAATGCAGTCACTGGAGAAAGCTAAGTAGTATATCAAATTCCCAACCAGACCACAGTAGCCTACCAGGATATAAACTGCAATATTGTTTGGACAATGATAGTGTTAACATTAGGGATCATGTTTCCAAAATGATGTGCTGGCTGGTTCTTATAGAAATCTTATGTCAAAATAGTTCACAGTGATTTCTACTTTCCCTTACTGCAGTTCATTTATAACCATCACCACCCTCCTCCTGTTACTGCCCCCAGCTTTTGGATGCTTGGATATAAACATTTAAGATTGGAAAGAGCTTAGGTATGTTTTACTTCAGCTCTCATGTTTCAAATATGAAACGGTAAAGTCTAGAGGTTGAGGGATTTGGTTAGCGTCCCATAGCTGTTGATTTCTAGTTCAACGGTCTTTTCAGGTTACTCTGGAAATCATCATTCCTGCTTCTTTATTTCAAAAGCAACATATTCTATATGAAAACATAAATTAAAATATGATTTAATATATTCACAGCATTCTTGTGACATATGCACATTTAGTGATAAAATTTAAATAAATGTAATTTGGCTTCACTTTGGACATTGACCTCTAGCCACTGTTTCTGGAAAATTGGGCGCATACACACACCCTCAATACCTCAATACACACACACACACACACACACACACACACTGATATCCTTGATATCCTTACACGATCAGCCTCTTCAGTTTCACTCAGAGGATTCATTCTGTTCTTTTCCCACTTTGCACTCAGGTTTTAAAATCTCTAAAGTCCCAAACGACTGGACTTATTCATTATTAAACTTAAAACAAGGCCAAATAATTTTCCTTTGTGCATTTACCTGATTCCCACTGGACTTGTTTTCTCAGATAAGGAGATACTAATCTTCTAGCTGAAAGGATTTTCTATGTTTTATTTTATCCTTTGAGTTATTTTATTCTGGAACCCATTCTTTTCACTTTAATTGAGGCTTTTACTCTCACCCTAACCCCTCTCAGGTCCAGCATCCAAGCAGCTGGAAGTAGAAAGAGTTTGTCTTTTTAAAGTGCACTCTCCGTCCTTGCACAAGGGTTACTAACAAACTTGCTTATGCACAGCTAAAATGTCTGTCTCTTCATAGAATACACATTATTTAGAACATAGTGTAAGATAGAAACTAGAAAACTGTTTCTACAAAGAGTCATAGTTTGCTGACTACTGGGATAGGTTGTTTTTTTGGAGAAAATGTCCAATAATGTGTAATTTATCAAATAATAATATTGTGGGTATCAGTTGAAATAATAAGCCAAAGAAAATAATACAGGACAGAATATGTGCTCATGGAGGCGTGTTTCCGAAGTGGCCATGAGGGCAACTCCAGGATTTTACATCCTCGTCCTTTCTTTCCTAATCAGCATATTGAAGGCAGTTGGAATAGATAATCTCCAAATATCTCTCCACTGGGACATGTTGAAAAATGTTAGAAATCATTACTACTGATAATGAGACTCACTACTGTGCCACAATAAGCAAAAATGCACATTCAAGGCAGAATTCATCAGATGTCTATAGTTCATACAACTCAGGTAAACAGTAACTGCATTTCTAAAAAATGCAAGAAAATTTTATTTGCAATTGCATACCTGGATGTTGTCACAGGTGTAAAATTTGTTAAATTATTCCTTCGAAACAGATATGCTTTTTCAATTTCTTTGATACATTTTGAGAGCATGAGAAAATAATGCTATGTAAAAATCTTTAAATACAATGTTTCTGAGGAGCCCAGCCTAAATTCTTCTTTCTTTCACTCACTCATTTAAATACCATGGTTATGAACAGTTATGAAATCAAGTATGTTAACTGAGATTCAATGCCTTGAAGAAAATCATTGCCTAATGAAGGAGCTAGACTTGTAAAGCAAAAAATCATATGGATTTTAAATGTTTGGATATAAATAATGTTTTATAACAAATATATAATCTATATTTTTCTGTTTAAAAAGTTCAGGTATGGTGCCTCACTCCTGTAATCCCAGCACTTCAGGAGGCTGACGTGGACAGATCTGTTGAGGTTGGGAGTTCAAGACCAGGCTGTCCAACATGGCGAAACCCTATCTCTAGTAAAACTACAAAAAAATTAGCTGGGCGTGGTGGCGCGTGCCTGTAATCTCAGCTACTTGTGAATCTGAGACAGGAGAATCACTTGAACTTGGGAGGTGGAGGTTGCAGTGAGCTGAGATTGCAGCACTGCACTCCAGCCTGGGTAATAAAGCAAAACTTGTCAAAAAAGTGCACTCGGTGACAGGGCAAAAACCTTTCTTAAAATGGTAAGTACTTATGGATTTTTTTTCTCAGAAATAAGTTTACAAGTATTAGATATCTGCATAACTTAATTCAAATACAAACTTGGAAATAAATTCTCTTGGTTACCTTCACACATTTATTTTACTAGCATAATTAATGGTTTTCATACTTAAAAACCTTGTTTTGGATAAATTAT